TTGACTTATATTAGTTTTTGAATATTTTTTTATATTTTATCTTTTTTTTTTAATTTTTAATTATTGTTTTTAGTTTCCAATTATTTTTTTATTTTTTATTATATTTTTTTTTAATCTAAATGTATACCTTTTTATTTTTAATTATTTATTTTATATTGTTATTTATTATAAATACTTTTGATATTTAGTTATTACTCTTTTCAAATATTACCATTTTTTAATTTTTCATTATATTTAATTTTTTCCTTTAATTTTAACAATTTTCTTTTACTTTTAATTATTTTTTTTTTATTTTTAATAATTTTCTTTTATTTTTAATTTTTATTTTTTAATTTTAATGATTGCTTTTTTTTGCCACAAAATTGAAACAAAAATAGGAGAAACCAAAACTAAAACGTCACTTAAAAAGCTTACAAGGGTTAACAACGAAATGTTTTGTGAGCAAATCTTCCTACCCCATTCACATCTCGTGGCTTTATTCTAACCTCAATTTCTCCCATATCTCAAGTATGGGTCTAAAATAATTTACGTACCGCCCACTACTCCTTCGAACGGGGTCAAGTAGATGGAGCATTTATGTATGTGTATTTGTGAAAACAAAGGTATGCATTTCGAATTTTATGGCACAACACAAATCTTAACATAATACCTTTGTGACTCTACGCCTTAATATTTCTACATATGTAAATATGTAAAGCAGGGTGTGTGTGTGTGCTTTTGACTTTGCCGCTGCAAACTTAGCCTGCGGGGGTGTGTTTATGACTGTATGTATTCTTTCTTTGCATATCTATATTTGTATATATGTACATAGATATGCTTGTATTGCATAAAGATTATATTACCGATAAAACACTAACTAATGAATGTGTTTTTAATGAGCATTCAGCAGATTGCCGGCTCCTAGTGGATTTCAGGCTTTTGTTCACATCACTAGAAAGGTGAGGCGATTGTTTGTTGCAATGTTTTACCGCATACGTTCTGGAGTGGGTATGGTGAATATAATTTAAAAAAAAAAAAAAACAGGGCATTGAGAACGAATTTTGAGGTTACTGCTTTATTCTGTTGTAATATAAAGAAAAAGAATGTAAATAAAAGTGTTTGTGTATTTTAGTGATCCACAGAGTCTTTCTCAGAAACAAAAAAAAAAAAAAAAAAAAAAAAAAAAAAATTATTTATTTAATTATTATCACTCACGGCGTAAGGACCATGCATCAGCCCTGGAAGAAACAGTTGTGTGTTCGCTTGATCAAATGAAAACAGGAATCGGAAAACCAACTATGAACAAGAGTCTCATATATCTCTACTGGTAACAAGATTTGTGACAGTGGGACGCCGTGTAATATTAGTATTTTTAAGTTTGAGGTATGAGTGGGTTCTAAGACGGATGTGTTCAGTGCCTTGTAGTTAGCAAAAATAAGATGCTTCATTGTTATTGGGCAATCGTTAATCTAGCAACATAATCGGGTGTGAAAAAGTTTCCAGCTTCTTTGCATATTTGCATTATCTCCCGCTTAGGAGCAGGCGATACTAGTCTGAGTCATCTAATACAGAGGAGGTCATTAACTGGTATAGAGTTCATGAAAGTATTGACGGATTCTCTGTGCATGGCGTTTCAAGTCTGTTCATGAGAGTGTTTTAAACCTATTGGAGCTGAATAGAGCCTGTATAGTCTAGCACTCCCCTTCTTATGTGCCTAGGTGGAGGTTCACCCTCAAATAAATGGCTGTTGGCTTACGTTAGTTGTGTGTATGATCTTTTACTTGTAGCATGGACGTTTTAATGTACAAGTGATGTCAATAGGAGGTTCCCTCTCACGGGCGACGTTCTTACAAGATCCTAGCCTCTTCATCCGCGTCTCGCCAGTCCTCGACATGCAAATCGGAGCAGCGTAATTTACGTCTGGCTCATCAAGTGCCTTGCCTGTTCCGAGCAACGCGTCTCTGTACTTTTGTGGCAATTGCCGTCGTACGCGAAGTGACGTAGGGTATATTGCGAATGTGACCCCCCAGTAACTTTTGATTGTTAATTATCGGATTTTTTACACCCAGCTGGTGAAAACGAAAGCCAAGGATTTTGCAGCTTGTAGCTGTAGGTGTCCTGAAGAAATGGAAAAGGCCAGCTAGATAGCAGTTTACTTTGAAACATAACCGATCAATATCCTGACCACACGACGTCAAAATCGAGTAGTCATCGGCATATAAGATCAATGAAATGCCTTCGGGGGCAGATTGGAATGAGATGTAAATATTAAACCACACGGTGCCTATTAATCTCACGGAATTTCGAAGTTTGAACTCGATACTTTATCAATGACTGTCCACCACTCGGGTATCCCACAGTCCACCTCTGCAACCTCGGCGGTTAAGACGAATTCTCAATGTTCACGATGGTAGTACTGAACTAAGATGGTTCGTCTGCTTTCTAATAATTAAAAATATCAGTCTTTGGAGTAGTAAGAAGGACATTGGGAGTAGTAAGTTAGCATTTGCGATAGGGAAGCATTAACAAATTAAAAACAAAAAAATATTTTTAATCATGATATCGACCAAGAAAGTTTAAAAATTACTGACATTTAAATTGTTTTTCTTTTTGCTAATTTTTCATTTCACAAGCTCCAGCAAAGGAAAAGCAATTACAGTGAAATAAAAAAAGAAAGAAAAGCCTACTGCTCGAAGCACAACAGTTTGTGCTAAAATTTAAGCTATCAAACCAATTACCCACCATTTAAATCATTTATTCGTACATATATGTACACATCCAAATAGCACACATACATACATATTGTATGTATAAATGCTTTAACTAATATTCAAGAAGTAGTAGTAGCAACTTAAATTCAAATCAGCATCCACCATTATATTAATGCATATATGTATGTATGTGCTTAATATTTCGTATGTAGATAATATTTAAGTAGAAGATTGTGAATTGGAAAATTGCTATGGCTTAAAGTAAATTTCCAAGCCCTTTCACTTTAATTGCCAGTTTTATGTACTAAAGAGTAGAATTGGAAAGTCACTGCCCTGCTTGTCTGTCTAACTGTGTGTAGTTGAAGAATACGATTGCATATGTACGTATGCACTATGTAATTAAAATGCTAAAAATGGTTTTGAAGTTAATTTTAGTTTGACGGATTTAGTCTTCTTACTTAATTTTTTTTTTCTTTTATTTATTCTTTTTTTTTACATTTACATTTTTTAGTTTTTTTTTCATTATTTATTTATTTCTTCATATTTTGTTTATTTTTATATTTATTTTTATTTATTTTTGTTTGCTTATTATTTTTAAATTTTTTTTATTTTTTATATATTTGGTATTTTTTTTTAATATTTTCTATTGATTTATTTTTTTTGTCTTATTTTTTATTTTATGTTTTTTTCTAAATTTTTATTTTATATATTTTTCATTTTCGAATTTTTTATTTTACATTTATTTTTTTTTTTAATTTTTTTTTTTACTATTATTTTATTATATATTTTTTATTTCTTTATTATTATTTCTTAATTATTTATTTTTATTTTTTTTTAATTTTTCTTTTAATTTTATTAATTTTTTTTATTTTATTTGTTTCTTTTTTCTTATTTTTTATATATTTTTTATTTATTTATTTTTTATAAATTTTTGTTTTTTTTTTATATTCTATTTTTTGACGGACTTGATTTAGTCTTCTTACTTTATATTTTTATTTTCTTTTATTTATTTTTTTATTTATTTACATTTTCATTTTTTTAGTTTTTTTCATTATTTATTTATTTCTTTATATTTTTTAATGTACTATATTTTTTATTTATTGTTTTTTTTTTGTTCTCTTATATATTTGTTATTTTGATATATAATTTTTACTAATTTTTTTTTAATATATTTTTTGCATTTTCTATTTTTTATTAATTTTTTTTTTATATATTTATATTTTATTTCTTTATTGTTAATAATTTTTTTAATTTTTCTTTTATTTATTTCTTTTTTCTTATTCTTCTCATTTTTTATATGTTTTTTATTTATTTATTTTTTTAAATCTAAGTTTTCCTTATTTTTTATTTTTTCTCATTTTCTACTTTTTTTTTATTTTAGTTCTTATTTATTCATTTTTTATTAATTTTTATGTATTTTTTGTTTCTTATTATGTTATTCTACAATCTTTATTTTTTTTTAATTTTTATTTATTTTATTTTTTTATTAAAATTTTTTTGTTTTCGTTTTTTTTTATTTTTATTTTTTTTTGTTATACTTTCTTAATTTTTATCTTTTTTATAATTATAATTTTTATTTTTTATTCTTTTTTTATTTTGATTCATTTTTATATTTTTATTTTTATTTTTTTATTTTTATTTATTTATTTTTATTTTTTTTATTTTTATTTTTTTATTTTTATTTTTTTATTTTTATTTTTTTATTTTTATTGTTTAATTTTTATTTTTTTTATTTAAATTTTTATTTTTATTTTTATTTTTTTTTGTTATACTTTCTTAATTTTTATCTTTTTTTATAATTACAATTTTTATTTTTTATTCTTTTTTTTTATTTTTATTATTTTATTTTTATTATTTTATTTTTATTTTTTTATTTTTATTTTTTATTTTTATTTTTTTATTTTTATTTTTTTATTTTTATTTTTTATTTTTATTTTTTTATTTTTATTTTTTTATTTTTATTTTTTTATTTTTATTGCTTTATTTTTATTTTTTTATTTAAATTTTTATTTTTATTTTTATTTTTTTTTTATTTAAATTTTTATTTTTAATTTTTTTTATTTTTTTTTTGTATTTTTTTATTTTTTTTTTTATATTTTTATATATTTTTTTTATATTTTTTTATATTTTTTTATGTTTTTTTATATTTTTTTATATTTTTTTATATTTTTTATATTTTTTTATATTTTTTTCTATTTATTGGTTTTTATTTTTTTGCTAATTTTTTTTTCATTTCATTGCATCTAATAAATTCTTCTTCTTTTCTACTTATTTATTATTATTATTTTTTTGCTTTTTTTAGTCTCTTACCTCTTTTTGGTTTTGCCAACGTTGTAAAGTTCAACATGTTTAAATGCAGCATAAGTGGCCATTTTTGTGTTGTTTTTAATTTTTGTGGTTTCTTATTTAAATTTAATAGCACAATTTGCTTCTTTCGAAACACTCGTTGTGGACTTGGATGATTTCGTCGTACTAACTTTTTGTACTTGAAATAATCGGATGGTCGGTTGCTAAGTAAGTTAGTGCGTCGTCGGATCGGTATGCAGGTATGTAGTAATTTATAAGTATATATGTACTCTGATTAAGTTAGAAGTTAAGAAGTTTCTTTAGCTTTCTCAAGAAAGTTATCTAGAGAGTTCAGCAGACAAAAAAAAAAACAAAGGAAATAGGTTCAAAATATAGTCCAGAAACTTTCAAATAAAAACATTACCAACAAAAATTGTGAAACACTTGCGAGAGAAACCGACAAAAAGTATTAAGTGGCTATTATACAATTTCCGAGCAAGGATATGCGCTTTAAGCACTTTATTGATTGGCACATGCATACATATATAGTTATAATAGATTGGCGTTTTGTAAGCGCTGAAGCACTTTTCGGCCGTGCTCCCACTTTAATTTGCAGTGGGTGTGCGTCTTGAAGTTCTTTCCCACAAATGCACGATGCCGCTGTACTTTTATGTGAAGCCTTGATTTTCATGTCAGAAATGCACTCTGGGAGGGATTGATATTCCCTGCCGAGGGGCGAGCGCACATAGAAACATTCATTTTCTATAATTTTAGAGTTCTGTTTGCCTCTTTGTCATGCATACGCCGACAAGTATTCTGACAACCAGTCCATTTGTGTCAGCTGAGCGCTGAGTGACTTTGAAATGCCGATTAAGAAATGGAATTTTTTGTCATAAATCACACTGGAGCTACGACCACCCACCGCAATTACATATGTATGCATATATAGACATAATAATAATAACAAAAGTGCGTAAATTTTTGCAGGAAGTCATGAAATCAATAATATATACATATATACGCGTTTATTACATATATGCTTGCAAGACGAGTAAGCAGCGACAGGAGCACCACAAAGCATATATACGAATATGTACGGTGTGTATAAGAAATATTGAAGGCTTTTCGGCCAACACAAAACCAACAGAAAATAAAAACAGAAAAAGTGCGAAGTGAGCGCACGGAGAGCGTATGAAAACTTTTATCCTTGAACAGGATGCATGGCATGAGTGTGCAGCTTACAGCGCAGCTTTTAGCACGACAAATGTGGGATGCTGCACCGTAAAATCGCGTAGGTCGCGTAATGTATGGCTGTTTCAGTTTCACAACTCTCAAATACTGTGTTGTTGCAACAGCAGTGGGGTGGGTCAATAATGAGTCCTTTAAAATATTTCACAATTTTTGTTTGCCTTTTTTCTGCTTTTAATAAAATTTTTTCATTATTTCTTTATTTTGTTTCAACTCACAAAGAAACCAACACTTTATAGTCTTTTTTTTTCTTTTCTATTCACACACGCAGTCAATTTTAATATTTAAAATTAACACGACAGGATAATACTGAAGGCAAAAAAAAAAACAAAAACGTTATAAATTTATTTTTACTTTTACGCACACGTTTTCGTTTTTTGAATAATTATTTTATTTTATTTTTTTTTTCAGAAAAAAATTGGAAGCTTTTAATTTTCTTTATGCATTACAAAATAAATTTGTATTTAAATATATGCATATATGTATGTACATATATATTTTTCTTTATTCCTGTACGAGCAAGTGTTGAGTGAAAATTATGCGCTTTTCTTATTTCCCTTGTTGTGAACGCAACGATTTGAAGCTTTCGACTGAACCGTAAATGGAAAAGTGGAAAACATTTTATATTATATCGATCCATTCACACAAGACAAGGCATGGCAAGCATGGCGGCATGATGATGAGCGCATATTGTGCGCTCACGAGAGTCAGCCAACAATGTAAAATAATAGTAGCAGAGAGTTGTGGCGGAAAAGTCATACAACAAACATTTTCCCCAACCCAAAACACACAAACATTCAAGCGCCAGCGCATGCAGCGTTACGATTAAAAAGCAGAAGCAACGGGCGTATGTACGAATACATATATATGTTTGTATGTATGTGCGTTGTAAATGAGAAAAGCCGAAACGAAAAAGAGGCAACCACGAGCACAGTCAAAAAGCCGCTTAATGGTAAACAAACAGAGACGGTCGGTTACTTACTGAGCGCATGAGTGACTAGAATTAGAAAGACATACTAGAAGTTTTTGCTGAGAAACGAAACTAGTAGCGAATCAAGTACAAAAACGTCTGTGGTTTACGTGGCGAAAGCTGGAAGTGAATGCTGCACCTAGAAGTGGTTTGTCAATTCTGTTGCGAAAATTTCGGCACCATAAATGCACCTCATTTTGGTCAACCTTTAACTCAAAAAGCCGGTGAAATTCTGCAACTGAACAAGACCAGCATGTAAGTTGTCAGGAGATAGCTGCAGCGTTTGGCTTTACTCAAGTGACAATTTGGAATCATGTAAAAAATACTGATTTTTCAAGCAGCTGGATATTTGGATGGCACATGAATTAATGCAACAAATTTGATTAACCGAATTAGCATCGAAACGCTTCGAACGGTTCCTGAACCGATTTATCAGTGGCGAAGAAAAATGGTTTAAATAAGAGAATATAAAGAGAAAAAAATCATGGGCGAAGCCCGGTGACTTTCCTTAAATGACTTCATACATGAATTGAAAACAAACAAGGTGGTGCTGAGTCTATGGTGAGCTGCTATGGCCTAGTGAGACGGTCAACTCTGAGTTTTACCTATAAAAAGCTATTAAAAAAACCATCCAGAATTGATCAAATAACAAAAGTGTTGTGTTCGTTGATGAAACTCCAGAAGCAACCACCACACCACATACATATATTGGACCTTACAGCCTCTAACCACCGTATACTTCGATCTCTTTAAAACTTCTGTGCTAGATTAAGCTGAAGGTTTTTTTTTCTGACGATTATTTTATTCCACTTAATTAGTCTACTAATTGAGTTATTGATTTTTGAAACCTTACAGACTAGTGACTAGACTAACAATTACTATATACTTAAAACGATGAATTATCAATAGGAAGATTCAAGAATAGAACCAACATGAGTTATTGGGAACGTGAAATCAAAAGCAAGGTTCATTGGTATCCTATTTAACTCAGAGAGTGATAAGACATAAGATAACAATAAGATTTAATAATAACTACTTATATAAAAAGTAGAATGAGAACGCAGAGTTGTGTGAGAAACATTCAAAGCTGATTTGCACAAGAAGCTCTGGGCAGTCCACTAAGTCATCGATAATGTCATAAGTATATAGCAAAGACTGAATAAGTCGATTTTAGATTTATAACCATACAACTTGTAGCATAAGATGATGGTGGAGCAGTGAAATGAAGTTGAGCGAGAGCAAACCATACAAACTTAAGTTAGACACCGTCAAGTCTAGAGGTATTGGTAAAATGATTTGGATTTCAAATTAGGCCAACATACTCCAGTTTTGAGCGAGCCAAGGAGTAATGCCGAATATTACGTGTGTAGAGATCTTTGAAATCACCACCACATCGCCGTGAAGGTAAAACCAACATCAAACAATAGTCCAAGATCCAAGAATTCATCAACAGAAAAGAGTCTATAGTCAGGAAGATAATAAGACGATTATGAGAAGGTAATAATTGATACACTTTTTTATATACAGAGGCAAATAGTCCTTAATGCTCCACTAAACTTAATCTTTAAGATCCATCTGCAACATCAGAAATACAAGGAATGCAACTAAAAGCTTTTAAATCATATGAATTTTTGAAGCAAGTTCCAACATATAAAGGGCCAGGATTAAGATACCCTAGAGGTGACCTCTTTATTTCAAAAAAAACATAGCCTATTGGAGTTAAGATAGGTTGTGCCTTTATGTTTTTCAATGTTTGAGCTCTGAAGGAGATAGCCCAATGCTGTTGTTTCGAGAACTATAAAACCTGAAAATAACGAACGTACGAAAAGAGACCAAATGTAGCTTTTCTATAAGATCTTAAAGCACTCTAAAGTATCTAACAGATCTATGTTCTATACCCAAGGTTGAGGTTGCCGCAAAGCACCCACTTACCCATGCTAGAGTATTCAAAGCATGAAAAGTCAAGAAAAGCCTGCATACATAGTTAGTCCGCATTGGGCCAGGCCCAATTACACGTATAAACATTTACTGTATGGATATGCGCTCTCTAAGAATCATAAATTGAGCGCAAGCCCGAAAATGTGCTAACACAAGCAGGGGAGCACCTCAGCTCATCCAACTACGTAAGTGAGTGAGCGCAAAGAAAATAAAAATGCGCTCACAAGAGCGGTGGTAATATACACACAGCTGATTTCTGTCTGCTTAATTCCATAGCTTTTTAGCTTCGTACTTTCGTCGTAAATGGCAAGCAGAGTAGTCAAATAACAACAACAGCAACCAGAAAAAAAGCAAATACAACAATGTGCTGTCGTTGTGACGTTGAAATCGTCTGCAATTGTTGGGTTAGGTTGTGCTGAAGCTTGTTCACAGATGCATACATACACACACGCAAACACATACAATATATACATCACAACGTTGCTGGGTTGGTTAGAATGAACAGCCAAGAGAAGATGCCGTTAGCAATATTTATATCCAGCGCGTGCCAATTGTTGCAGCAACATGTTGCTAGCGCGTGCGATGACTAACCCTGTGTGTGTGTGTGTGTTTGTGCGTGTATGCATCTTATTGAACGATGCTACAGTGTCGCTTATTGCTGTTGCTGTTGTTGTTGTTGTTTGCATTAGTCAAAAGCACATTGTAGTAGTTCAATAACCGGAATATGGTGTCACGTTTTGTTGTCAGTTGTGTTGTAAGAGAGCTTTTTATGCGTATGCCCATCTCGGTGTGTATGTATGTACATATGTATAAAGAGCGGATGCCTGGGCATTATTCAGATGCGTATTCGCGTGTAAAATTGTTACATATGTGCGTGAGAAGTGAGAAGCGTGGGCGCAATTTCAAACGCATACACATGCATACATACATATACATATATGAATGTATCTGCATACACGAACATATCTACGTACACATGTATTTCTACAAAAATAACATTGCTGCGTGTCGCTTGCTGCAACGTTGCAAGTGCTGATTCTTTGCAAACTTGTTATTGTCTTATACACACATAAGTATACGTATGTATATACACATTCATGCATAGAAAAATACAAAAAAGCATATACAATACAGGAAATTTTTCACGAAGCGCGAGCGAGCATTTGTCAAGTGCCGACCAGATGAAGCTGCGAGTTCGAAATGAAGCATGAGCGTCGCAGATGGATGAAAATATCAATAAAAGCTCGTTTAATATGCATCGAAACGGAAATGAACAATTGCTTGAAATGAAAACTATTAAGAAAAATAATTCCGAAGTCAGGACAGCGAATATAGAATTACATAATAATTATATACCTACGACATGATGCAATGAAAAACTGAAGCCCGTACATGGATACATACAAGTTGACATAAAAAGTAAGCGACTTGACCAAAAATAAGTAACAAAATTTAAATTAAAAAAAACGCAAAATCAATCATGACATTTTTTCTGAGCAGTGCCGTACAAAAGTATTGAAATTTTTCGAAAACCTTACAGAAAGCCAGAGATTTTATACATTTTACCATTGGCAGCAGTTTAATTTTTTTAGCTCTGAAATACGTACCTGCAAAAAAAAAGAAAAATATCATTAATATTATGTATTACATTATATTACATACAATATATGTATATATATATATATAAATAATACTGGTTTTACACATATAAAGATGTTTATACATATGTATATACATCTTGATATTTTTGTATGTACAATACTTATATTTTATATCTAAACATCAACACAGACTGTGCCTATTACCGTGCGATAAGCCCCCTTACAATCACATATACGGTCCTATTGAGAGCATTGTGTGAAAGTCTAAAACCCACCGTCAACAAACTGAATGGACTTCATCAGTGTGGCTTTTGATCTGGTAAACCCACCACACATCTTCACTATGCGACAATATTCAACACACACCACCTCTATACCGCAATGAGTGAAATCGGTATCCCCGCAAAACTTATACGGCTATGTAAACTGACGTTAAGAACCATCAAAGGCGCTTTCAGAATCGCTAAGGACCTATCCGATCGATCCGTACGATACCAAATAAGGTTTAAACAAGGTCACTCCTTATCGTGTAGCTACTTTAATTTATTGCTGGGGAAAATAATACAATCTGCAGAACTCAATAGAGAAGGTGCAATCTACTAAAAGAGGATGGTGCAGGACGCCGATGATACTGACATTATTCATCTCAACAGCTGTGAATCGGCCATCAGGTTATAATTTTTAAATCTTAGCTAATTTCGCCTTTACTGGAACCAACATTAACTATAACAACAGTGTCAACATTGATATCCGACGCATAATCACTATTGCCAACAGTTGCTGCTTTTGGACTGAGCAGATAATTGGAAAGTAAAGTTCTCTATCGACAAATAAAGACTACTTACCAGAGCCACTTACCGTACCCATCGAAGTGACAACATCTGATGGCGATTTAGGGGTTCAAGAATTTACCCGCGGTAAAGCATGCATGTAGTAAGAGTCGACTAAAATCCAATAGTTCCCGCGACAGTCGGGTCTTTACACTGGGACGACCCGGATTTTTATCCGACCAAGGACTGTCACTCCTGCAACATTCTCAAAAAAAAAAAAATACTTTGGGGAATATTTTTGCGGTTACAACAACAACAACATCTGATGAGTCGTTGTTGGAATTTT